CTGGGATTTGGCTGTGGAGGAGATCCTGTTTCACCCTCTCCCAAGCAGAGGCACTTGAAACACCCCTGGGATCCTGCTGCAAGGATGTGGACAGTCTCACAGTGTGTTCAGGGCTGAGCCACAGCTTCAGTATCTCTGCTTTTGATTTCCATGGCTCCAGGCATGTGTAGAGGGATGGGGGAAACGCCAGATTCAACAAACGTCCCTTTTGTGCACAACAGGGAGCACAAACAGGCCCAGGAATAGGCTGGACACCGGGTTTGATTTCATCTGCACTGTCACCTTCATGTTTAAAGAACTACAGCAATTTCCAATCATATCCACAAGTTCTATTGCATCATAACATTGCTGGTTTGGCAATAACTATTCCATCAGTACCTCAGCCTGCGCTTTGGTCATCTTTTGTTCTGGGTGAGCACAACTCTCTCTGCAGCCTTTTACATGGAGCTAATTTCCATTTAACACACAGCTTGGGCTCTTGCAGTGATGTATTACGTCTGCTGTCAACTTGCAGTGCCAGAAATGATGTTACTTTCTAGTTTGCATTAAGCATCCAACATTAATTTTCAAAAATTCTCCATTTGGACTGAAATCTCTTGATGTTATTGGCTGTTGCTTTACAGCAACATGTCACACCACTGCTAAAACCTTTTGTGCTGTTATTCTTTCACCTAGGCAAGCTGCCACAGAAGTTAATTTTTTTTTTTCACTGAGCTGAATTTCAGTTTACATGGAACATTATATTCACAAAGGAACAGAAATCAGCTCTACTTTAACAAGTGTTTATTAAAGCATATCCACCATAGCAGGTTTCATGGCTTTGTCTCCATGGGTGAAGGGAAGAAGGGGAGGATATCAGGTCTATCCTCCGTCAAGAGATCTCCTTGAGTCCCACCACAAAACGCTTGCAGGATGTTTGATGAAGCTTTTGTGCTAATAAAGTACACTAAAATATATTTTAACACTTTACTAGCAGAACTTCTTAGAGCAAGTCCAGAGGAGGCCACGAAGCTTATAAGAGGATTGGAGCATCTCCCCTACGAAGACAGGCTGAGAGAGTTGGGGCTGTTCAGCCTGGAGGAGACCTCAGAGCACCTTCCAGGAGCTGAAGGGGCTCTAGGGAAGCTGCAGAGGGACACTGTGGTAGGATCTGTAGTGACAGGACAAGGAGCAATGGGGAGAAATTGAAAGAGGGAAAGTTAGCTTAGATCTTAGGCATAAGTTTTCCCTGTGAGGGTGGTGAGACATTGGCCCAGGTTGCCCAGGGAGGCTGTGGCTGCCCCAACCCTGGCAGTGTTCACAGCCAGGTTGGATGAGCCTTGAGCAACCTGCTCTGGTGGGAGGTGTCCCTGCCCAGGGCAGGGGTTGGGGCTGGATGACCTCTAAGGTCCGTTCCAACCCCTAAAATTCTATGATTCTATAAAATTCCAATGCCACTGTGTATAATAGCCATAAGTGGCATGAAAAAGAGGTTGGTTTTCGACACTGAGCAACAGAAAGTCCTGAGTGACACCGCAAACAGCTGGACTCATTAGCCACAGGGTGGGGAAAAAAGGGAATCCAGAAAATAGCTGGAGCAAAAGGCTCCCACTCCATGGTTTTTGGCAAAGAAACAATGCAGAGTTGCAATCAGTGAAAATGCAATGAACCTGACCTAGCACTGCTAACTGCTGGCATCAAACACAGGCAAGATGCCCTTGGAGCTGCTCCTCACCTTGTGTGGTGCCCAGTGAGGAGGACAAAATCAGTGAGGGACAAAATACATTGGCATCCAAGCAGTGGGTTAGGGGGAACCACTGGGGGAGCCTTGTGGAAACGTTTTTGGTGTGTCAGTACTGTGGTGAATTACCTATGAATCCCTTCAGCTGAACAGCTGCTACATGTGCTGTCTTATTTGCTTTTTAAAACAACTAAACAGGGAATAACTTGCAGAGAAGGATATAGAAAAAATTCTTGGATTAAGGCAAGACCTTAAAAAAATCCAAATTAAAAAACCCTATGTAATTAAAGCAACAACTTCCACTAAGTCATCAATATGCTCCTCAAACGTTTTGCAGGAAGAAACCCACAGTTGTCTCAGGTCAAACAGGAAACTACAAGAGGAGAACATCAAGCTGTGAATGTCAGTCAGTGGACAAGGAAATGCAGAAGGCTGGCCAGAGAGAAATCAGACCCAGACAGGCATGTTTTACCAGATGGCCTTCCAGGAGTTTCATTCAAATGCATATTCAGCACAAAAGGTGAGTCCTGCAGGGTCAGAGAGGAACAGGTTGTCAAAATCCACACTGCAGATTACATGTAACAGGTAAATTATTCTTATAAAACTAACCTCCTATGATTAGCAATAATCTGTAGGTCGGAGCTTCCAATTTTCCACAGATCCCTTGGAAGAGATTGGTTAACTCTTGCTTGTCTGACTTTACAAAGCAGCAGCTTCTGGAGCAGGAGAGACAGGAAGAATTGAAGTGGGAAGAAGAAGAGAAGTAGGAAACACATTTTCTTCACTAAATCATGCCCAGCAGAGTTTTGCATTGCCTGCTGTACCATATCCTGTAGTAATCTTGTATTACCGCAGAAATCCTTTTGTTGGAAAACACTCCAACTTTTGGCAAGTCATTTAACCTAGTTGCTGGGACAGATGGAATGGCATCGGTGGCAAAAGCGCAGGTAATTTTCGTGATATTATTAAACTTGTATTTGGAAGCTTCAGGTTTGTTAATTCATGTCAACAGAACAAGCAAAATAATAGAAACTAAGCCTTTAAAAAGGGCTGGAATGTGTGTTTGCAATGAAGACACTACAGGGAGCACAAGGCTTTAGCTGAGATGTGTCACACAGGGAGTTCTCAAACTCTCCTTGCTGACAAAACACATTGCACTGCAACTCTTGTTACACAGCGAAATGCAAAGTTCAGTTTTTCCCTGGTGTGAAAGCATGAAAGAAATGGCATTTCAAGTACTTTCCATCTCTGTGGGGAGCACGAGAAACTTACTTCTAGCCAAGCTGAAATCCTGAGGATTTGTTTACCCTCCCCAGACCTTCCCTTCCCACCGTGATCCACCTCACTACTGGGAGATGCAGTGAGGACTAGAGGAGTTGGCATATGAACTTTGTCCTCTTACATATTTTCCCTTTTTTCATTTTTTTTCCCCCCTCACAACTGCTGTTTGTTGAACCAAATGCTACACTCCTTGGCAAGGCATCTGGACATCCGGCTACAGCCCAGGGTTTTCCTAATTACGGAGTGCAGCTGGAACCGATTCCCCCAGTCTCGAGTGCCTGGATGTCTGCCTCAGGCCAACTGGCAGCAGGCTCAGATCATGATTCAGAAAAGATGCACTTGTAAATCAGCTTGCTCAAACACAGATCGATTGCAAAGGTGAGGGTGCTGGGGAAGAACAGTGCACAGTCAAGAGCTGGCAGGCACAGGACAGCCCAGGGTGGAGCCAGCTGAGGGTTTGGACAAAACTTGGGACACACATAACAGCAGTCCATGGAAAAATGCTGATTTACCAGTGGTTCAGGGCTTCGCTAGACACATGCAGAGCACCATGCTGGGGAGATGGGGATTGATGACAATCTAGTGACAAGAAAGGCACTGAGGGGATGGAGTGTGTCCAGAGATGGGAATGCAGCTGGGGAAGGGGATGGAACACAAGTGTGGGCTGAGGGAGGTGTGGGGGCTCAGCCTGGAGAAAAGGAAGCTCAAGGGGGACCTTCTTGCTCTCTACAACTCCCTGACAGCAGGCTGGAGCTAGGTAGGGGTCAGTCCCTTTGCCAGGTGACAAGCAATAAGACAAGAGGAAACAGCCTCAATGTTGCACCAGGGGAGGTTTAGATTGGATATTAGGAAAAACATCTAGACCAAAGGGTTGTCAAGCATTAGAACAGGCTGCCTGGGGAAGCAATAGTATCACCATCCCTGAAAGTGTTCAAAAAACCTGTGGATGTGGCAGCTGGGGATGATGGTTTAGCGATGGGCTTGGCAGTGCTGGGTTAAAAGTTGGACTTGATGATCTTAGAGGGCTTTTCCAACCTAAACAATTCTATGATTGACACCCTGAGTGACACTGAGCAGAGCTGGAATGACTTTAGACCACTGGCCCTGGCCTCATGTCCAGTTTTTGTCATGAAAGTTGCATTTTTTCATTCATTTACTATTCATACACTGACAAGTTTCAACTGTGTGTCAGCACTTCTGGTCTCCTCTGCTCTGCTCCAAGCCCTGTTTGCTCTGCAGTGATGACATTCCCTGTTCCCTCTGAATCACCAGCATCACCTCACAATGAACTGCTCTGGAGTCTCCATGAACCTCCAGTGATTCCCTCAGACCACAAAACAGCATTGCAGAACACATTCACTGGTAGGAAAATAGGAAAACTTCTCCACATTACCAAAAAGTTATCTGCTTTGTTGATCCTTAGCCCACCATCGATGAGACCAAGGAGGGGAGTCAGGCTCCCTTCCATGTCCACAGCACCAGGATCCCCATGGTCAGCACTGCTGATCAACCCAAAATGCTCTATTTCCTCACTTGGGACTTGGGAGCTAAAGGCCACAAATGGTTTGGCTGGAGGGTCACACCTAAGAGCAACCACTCTGCTAATAAAATGTCTTTGGCATCACTTAAAACTGTTTTTTTTAAAGCTTCTTCCTCCTTCTACTGATTATTCTTCCTAGAGGAAGTAATTTATACTTGATTCTGCTTAAAACATTAGAACTGGTTCGATTTTCTTGAGATTTTCTTTTAAATTCAAATACCTGAGGAAGCCTTGAGGAAAAAAATGTGTCGTCATTAAAGATTCACCACGCTCCCTTCTCAGTAAGGGCTGGGAGAGATCATAATTTGCTCCTTCAGATCTGAAGTGAGTCATCCAGAAAAACCATCCG